CGGAAGGCCGAGGTCGACGAGAAGGAGGACATTGTCAACAAAGCGCACGCCCTCCTCATGCTTGGCATTTGCTGTCCGACAGGTTTTCTGCAGCACCCGTCGGCCCGGTGAGCATAGGCTCGTCGGTCCCCCGGCCTCCACACTGCCCCTTGCCGACGCTGTGGACCACGCCTTTGTCGCCCAGTTTTCCTCCGCCAAGGTACGAAGGCTAGACCCATTTTTCTGGGTCGCCGCACATTGGCGTGATCGCGCCGTCCACCCCGCGCCCCTCGGCTGTCATCGACCTCAACGTCATGCCGGGGTTCAACAGCGGTGGCCGGCCATCCATCGAGATGCAAAGAAAGCAAGCACAGCCGCCGTCTACGGGCACCATGTCGTCACCCCGCGTCCTGTTTGACGAAATGCCAACACCAACGCCAACAGTCGACGACCCCTTCAACAACCAGTTCATGGAGAATGTCATCTACGAGGGTGGGCATGGCAGTTCCCACGATCCCGACGAGACCCAAAGTCAGGATGGTCGTGCCCAGTACGTTTCCGATGAAGACAATGAGGCCCACGACCAAGCTGACTACGACCATGGTGACTCGTGGCATGAAGATGATGGCATCTATTTGCGAAGGCGATGGTGGTGAAGAAGAAGGCATTGATATTGGAGGCGAGCCATTGTTCACCAACGAGCTCACCCGAAGAGCGGAAGCACAAAAGAGGAAGAATAACATTCGTAGGGGATCATACTCACAAGAAGAGGACAAGTTGATTTGCCAAAGTTGGATGGAGATTAGTCAAGATCCGAGGACCGGTGCGCAACAAAAGGGACTTGTTTTTGGACAAGAGCTCACAAAACATTCAATGAGAGAAAGTTCTTTGCGCCCTACCAATTTACGATACACCGTGACATCACCTCGATTCAAAAGAGGTGGTTGCTCATCCAACAAGTATGCAACAAGTATTGTGCCACACTTGAGAGCGTTGAAGCACGTCCCGTGAGTGGTCTCGGCATTGGGGACATGGTATGCTCTCTTACCTTTTGTTGCTACGGCCACGAGACTTCAGCCTTCTATATGGTTGCATGTTCAATTGTTGTTGGTTGTGTAGGCATTTCAATCTTTGGAAGCATTCAAGGCCCGACACAATGACAAGCCATTCACTCTTACGCATTGTTGGACGCTCATCAACATTTTGTGGGCTCGCTGTGTTGCTGACGACAAAACTATTCATTTTGTGGGCTGGCTTTGTTGCCGACCGCTGGCTGTGTTGCCGGCGAGGACGTGTAGGCTGGCTGTGTTGCCAGCGTGAACTAGGGCCGCTGGCATGAAATAGCGCGTGGTTTATTTGAAAATTGGCATTTAAAAAAGGAGGCGGACAGGATGCGGCTGGGATGCGTCCGCGCGTTGGGCGCACGACCACGGCATCCCATAAATGGCCCGGACACGACCCCATTGCCCTACCCAAACAGACAGAATCCGGGCCAAACGGACGTCCGGTTGGGGTTGTGTGCTGGAGTTGGCCTGATGGAAACGCCGACACCAACCAAATTTTGCAAAATTCCAGAGCTGGGGATTCGGAATTAGGGCTCTTTGATTCAAAGGAATTCTATAGGAGTTTGGGAGGATTTTGTGAGATTTTCATATATAGCGATCTAAACGCTCTTATATTTTTTTAGGTAGGAGTAGTAGTGTGTCATTTGATTCATAGGAATAGAATCCTTTTTCCCTAAAAGGATCATTTTTTTTCATGTGGCATGAAACACTCTTTGACCAAATTTCTATGATTTTCTAGCCTTATATAGGATTCAAAATGATATTCCAATCGTGTGTTTCCCCCATTCCATGTATTTTAATAATCTTGCACTCAATAGATTTGGCACTGCAGGAATTGATAAAATCTTCATTTGGGGATGCATTTAAACTACATATCAGATACATCTTGATCAATCTTTTATTTTCTCAGTAAGTGAATGGATTTTAGATTTGGAATTTAATGGCACACTAGATACACTATGGACGTGTTTGGTTGCCCGCAGTAAAGCCAACTATGTTGAGTTGGACCACGAAAAGTGTGTTTGGTTGCATATGGGGTGGGCGGGCTCGCATCGGCACGAACCTTAAAGCAACCACGGTCTGGCTCGTTGGAAACCCTCGAATCGGCAGTTTCCAGCAAGTCAGGCTCAATGTGACACAAGCTCGCACACGCGGGAGCAGCCCCAAAACGAGTGGGGATGGCAGGATATGAAAATAACGCGTGGAGGCACGACGCCAAATCTAGCCTCACCCCCCCCTAAAAAAATTTACTCGGTCACCACTACCTCTAGGACAACCACTTCCTCCAGCCTCACCACCGGCGGTGACGGCGACTTAGATCTGTGCAAGTGGCGGCAGCGAACGCAACAACAGCAGTATCCGGTAGCAAGAGTTGGTGCTCCCCCTCCTGTT